CCTCTCCCTTTGTAAATTCCATGAAGAATTTAACTTCCATCTGGGAGACAGGCTTAGCAAATCACAGAGCTAATGCCACGCATCACTGCATTGTCTACCAAACCAACACGCTCTAGGGGCTTTGTGGGACAGGTCAGAAAACGAGCCAGTCACACAGGGAGCAGGACGACGGCACGTCACCCACGTGCTTCATTCTGACAGGAAACTTGCACGTCACTGCCTTGACACGCGAACAAATAAAAACTTGACATTGACTAACAACTAGGGGAAAAGAAACCTACCTTTGAAACTTCTGGGTTCATGTAGTCTAAAAGAATATGGGTTCGTTCTGGGATTCACATCATCACCCTCTTGAATGAAGCCCATTTTAAGTTGCAATTTCATAACTGCTGCGCAAAGCTGGAGCTGCCCTAAGCTTGTGAGGTGGTTTCTGAATTCCAGCACAGGGTAGAATGATCAGCTCTGCAAGATCATCTACAAGGTGGCAACTGAGACTTTGGACAGATTTGTGGAATCCAGTAACACCCAGGAACACTGCTTAAAGACAACACTGCTCCCGGAGCCAGAGTAGCCTTCTGCTTTAGCTGTCGTTATGGGGACAAAATTCACAACCCAGCTTAGACCGTCACAGAAAGCGTTTATTGCCACAGAGGGAATCAGGAGATGCTGGAGTCCGCACACGGCAGCCTGGGCAGTGCATGTGATCAGGGAGAGAGGGCGGCAGGCGGGAACCCCATCAGTCACGTCCAGGTAGTCTCTGGCCGATGGGTTTGCTCGGTCCAGGGGAGACTGTCTGCGTGCGTGTGTGCGGCTCAGGGAGGTCAGCCTCGACAAGCAGGCTTCCTAGACAAAATGAAGGATACCCAGAACCAGGGCGACAGTGGCACAGACACCACCTTAAAATGGCAATCAAATTAGGATCACTACATCAGGAAGTGCATTTCACTCTGATCATAAAACACGAGGGAAAAGGGAGCACTGGGCTCTACTGGACAGCCGTCTTTGAGATAAGATGCTTTTATAAGTTAAACATTGGCAGGGCCTTTCCCCTTGCTACCAGCAAGCAGCACACAATTTACCAGCCAGCTTTAAAAGCTACTGTTATCTTTGTTATCTGTTATTATTTGGATTTTGAACAAAATTGATGGAGTAGGAGCCAGTAGAGGAATCTTGTTTGATCTGGAAATTTTCTGTGGAGAGTCCAAAAGGTCGGAGAACCAAATTCCCAAGATCTTTTAGTTTACCTGCAATGTAAAATCAAAAGCTCAAATAAATGTGGGGAATTAACAGAAGAAGCAGGAAGACCCCAACTGAGCTTGCCTTACTATCTGGGAGAGCAAAGCTTCCTGTCCAAACTAGTCAGAACCACCAAAAGACATAGGACAGGCCCGATCGTGAGTGATGGTCAAATCAGCTGCTGCTTCCAGGGGAGTGAAGGCATCCCACTGAGCCGCTGATTCTAATTCCATTAGCAGATCACTGGACCTCAATTCAAACTCAACAGCCTCCTTTTCTAAGTAAAGCCTCAGCTTCCACACCAAACTCATCATTTCTTGGGAAATGGGAAACCTGGTTCACTTGCCCAGCATCATCGACCTCAGTAGTTCAGTCTCCTTGCCCCGGTCTCAGCTTGCCTTATTAATCATCGGGTGAGTTCATGTCCTAAAGCCAGAACTAAGACACATGATATAACTAAGGACTTTTTTTTTTTTTGCCGATTCTACATATAAAAGAGGGAGTTTGTATGTCAAAAGTTGAAGTTTCTAAGACATTTGAGAGATTTAAAAGGATTTATGGGACAATAGCTGGAATATTCGAAACTAGGAGTGTTTTGGAAAATATTGGCTAGGATGGGTGAATAAACAGTTTTAACCCTTTCTCAAGGGTCCTAATTTTTCTTGCAAGTCTGCTTCCAATGGAGATGACAATGGGGGGAAAAAAGGGAAACCCCCAGTCATCAGAGGTACCCAACTTTTGCTAGCAGCTTTGTCCCTCTGAGGCCTTCCACCTTGAAGTAAAGCCCAGGTAAAGAACTTAAAGATGCATGGCCTTTAAATGCCCGGGCCTGTTCTAATAACTCATGGAAAGAGCTTTTGGTCTCATCTTCAGACTTAGGCCCTGAAACTCAGCATATTCCAAGAAAGCTCTGGGGACTCGGGGTGACCACTGTCTAAGCAGGCTTCTCATACTTCAACTTGGAACACAGATGCTCAGTGATGCTGTTCGACAATCACTGGCACAGACCTTGTCCCTGCACACAGGTGGCAGCACAGAAGGCCCAGAGCGCGGCTGCAGGGAGATGGATGCATGGGGAGGGGACCACGACAAGTGAAGAAAAGACAGGGCATCCTCAAGCAAGTGTGTTACCCAGAACTCTGGCAGTCCATCTGGGAGTTGAGGACAGGGAGGAAATGAACATTTAAAGAAGTCCGATAAAATGTCACTGCTGGCATAATCCTTGGCTCCTGACAAGAGTGAGCACGAATCTCAAGCTGCTCCCATCACACTCCCCAAGACGGGCGGCTCTGACCTTGGAGGAGCCTCTGTTCAAGGGCCACTAGCTGAGTGGAGGGAGCACTGTACGTCCCTCTCCAGTGCCCGCAAAACAATTTCAAGTGCCAAGTGTGCACTTTATTTGATATCTACTATGTGAGGCACTGGAATCTAAAGAAGAATTATTCTCAGCTTTTGAGATGCTTGCAGTCTGGAGGACACAGACACAGACTGAGGTGTGCACAGAGGGTGCTCTCAGGACATGCAGGGCGTGGGGAAGGTGGCGTTTCAGGAGAGCTGCTCTGAAGGACGGTGAGCAGTTACAGGGTGACGGCATGCTGCTGTTCTAGAGATGGCAGCAAAGCCACAGGAAGGATTCGAACTGCAGAAACTGCAGACGGAGAGGGAGAACTGGGGCCTTTTGCAGGCTCTTACTTTGCCTAATAGGCTGAAGGACCCGCCCACCAAAGGGAGCCTTGAACTTTGAGCTCAGCTGACCTTATGGAGTGCAGCCAAAAAATGCGCTTCTCCAAATGCAGGGAGCACAGGTGCTGTGCTCCGTGCAGAGGCCACGCGTCCCATGGCCGCTCTCAGTCAATGACAGTGCGTGACAGGGACAGGTGAGGGACTCCAATGATGGGCAACTCTGGCCCCCCATGGCTTTGCTGAAACGTTCTTAGCACTCTTCCCACCCAACTTCCCTCTCCTCACAGGGCTCTGCCAGCTCCCCCAGCACTCCCACTCCCGCTCCCGCCCCTCTGCCCCACTGCCCCGTGCAGGTGTTTCCCCCAGTGGATTCGGTGTACGCGCAGCCCAACCTCAGCCTCACACATGTGGTATCACTCTTTGTCCTTCTTTTCTCATATTCCTGCCTTTATAATGTAAGAGCTTCGCTATTATCTCCAGAACAGCAGAACAGTATGAGAAGTTCTGCTTGCTGAAGCACCTGGCACGTAGCAGAAACTGCTAAAGACCCGTGATTAAATAGTCTCCATGCCAGAGAAGACATGCAGTTACCTAACATTAATTCAACCAGTATGTCCTAACTACGTATGTGTGGCATTTGCTGCATGTGCCTGAGATGCAAAAATATTAGACACGGTTTTTACACCAAAATAATCTTAGATGTGACGGGGAAGGTAAGACATACACACAGAAGCTGAGATAAACAGCTGAGATAAAATGCTATGAGGGTCAGTAAGAGGAGGACTCCTTTCAGCTTGGGCAGGGAGGAGGGAAGATTCGGGGTGCAGGAGAGTTTGCACTGAATCGCCACCAAAGAATAGATAGGACTGCAACCATTTGAGACAGAGGAAGTGGGCAGTGCAGGCAAAATGGTCTGAGTAAATGTAGAGACAGGTAGGCAAGAGCGAGTGGTGTGTCCAGTGGGCTGAAAGGCAGGCTGGAGGGTGCACTGCACCAGGTTCCCACGAGCCAGGCCCCGCGGGCCGATTCTGGTGCCACTGATGGTTTAAGAACTGAGCTTTCAAGACTGATGATGTTGTGGCAAAGTGAAGCATGAACCAGAAGAGGAGAGGCCTGGAGGTGGTTCTGACAGAAAGTGAGTGCAACATTATGGGAGAGGCCATTTAGTCACTGAACAAACGTGAATGTCTACGATGTTGGGTAAAGCAGCTCTGAAATCTGAGTGGGGTCAGCTGGGACATAAGGGAACAGAGCAGGACTTTATGGTAGGCCTAACAAGTTTTTAATGTCTGAAAAATTCACCCTTTGCTGTTTAAGGTGGTGGCAGAGAAGCACCTTCAGTGGAGATCACGCTCCTGAGTAGAGATGCACAATCACACACTCATGAATTTCCTGCTACTGTTTAGCGAGTCAGGTCGGGCGCTCAGAGACTAAAGCAGCTTCTTGTACCCAAGCCAGGATCATCTGCCAAACTAGCCCATCTGCCACACTTTCTACTGGCTGGAAAATTCTATGTCTCCCTATCTGGGCAGTAATCAGGTCTCCTTATTTCCACTTGTAGCAAATCTGGCACCATCACTCAGCCTGAAAGTGCCAAAGTGTCCCTTACTATTAGGATCTCATCAGATAAGATCCCATGGCAAAGAGAAGAGCCCACGACTGCCTGAGCTCAGACAAGAACGTTGACGACTAGAGATCAATGCTTGTCACTGGATCCAGTTCTGAGAAATAGTAGTTTCTGTGCCTCTAAGCAACATTATATGTCATGATAACCCCACTGACACATTTTGCATAATTTCTCTTTGGAGATACTGACTGCGCAGTCAGTAGTCTGAGGAGAGCCCGAATGCCATTTGTTTTCACCTCCTTAAGATCACTGGGGTTTGATACACCTCATTAACAAAATAAAAGACAAAAATCAAATGACGTCAACAGATACAGAAAAAGCATCTGACAAGACATAATATCTATTTATGATTAAACACTCAATAAAAGGGGTATAGAATAAAAAGTACCTCCACATAATAAAGGCCATATATGATAAACGCTTGGCTAATATCATGCTCAATGGTGAAAAACCAAAAAATTTTCCTCTAACATCAGGAAAAGAACAAGGACACCTACTGTCACCGCTGTGATTCAACACAGTACTGGAAGTCCTAGCCAGAGCAATCAGGCAAGAGAAAGAAATATAAGGCATCCAAATTGGGAATGAAAAAGTAAAACTGTCACTATTTGCAGATGACATGATTTTACATATAGAAAACTCTAAAGACTCCATCAAAAGACTATTAGAAACAATAAACAAATAAAATAAAGTTGCAGGATACAAAATCAATATACAGAAGTCTGTTGCGTTCCTATAAACTAACAATGAAATATCAGGAAAAGAAATGAAGAAAACAATCCCATTTACAATTCCAACAACAAGGATAAAATACCTAGGAATAAACAAAGGCTGTGAAGGACCTATAAACTGAAAACTACAAGACACTGTTGAGTATTATGCCACTCTGGGTCTCCACTCCTGTTCTGATATTCGTAAATGACAGGCCGAGAAGGGAGGGGCAAGTATGTTCTAACCATTCATAATTCCAATCAGGATCCCCACCTCCCCCAAGGAAGGGGTACACAGGTCTTCTAACAAAAAAGAAGTCAACTTACAGAGAGAAAAGAAAAAGCAAGTCAAAGATTAATGAACAAACTTAAATAAAAGCTCATTTTGTTAAATAATCACATCGTAAATGCTCATGACAAATGGTATTCAGCAGTTTTTTAATCTTTAACTGCTAGTCCTCCAGCAGAAGCCATCATCCCCAGAGAAACTAGCACTAAAAATAGCACAGTCCACTGCAAAAAAGTCTGCTCGACTTCTTGAGAAGTGACATTAATTTGCACTCAGAGTGACCACCCTTCGAGGATCTCACAGCCCGTGAACCACAGTCACATCACCTGGGACAGGGAGGGGAGAAGGCCTGAAAGCCTGGTGGGGCTGAGTCGCGCAGAGTGACTTCTCCCCTCCAGGCTCTCCTACAGTAGGTGTCATCCTTATGCAGTATTTAGGAAGAACAGAGTCTAGCCATTCAAACTATTAACGCGTAACAACAAACTGACATCGTTTACCAAGTGACTTACCTAACATCTCTTCCTTTAGTCTTTCATTACGTTCTTCAATTTGCTTAGGTAATCTCTGAGGAAAAAAGAGGAGAAAAAAGAATTGGTAAAAAACAAAATCCCTCAGCTTTATTTTGAATTTGAGAAACATTAAAAACCTAATGTGAAAGTGAGCTCAGGTTAAGTACAGATGTGATATGAAAGAAAAAACCAAGTATTTGTTTGTGGGTGAGCTGCACGAAGACAGGAGCTTTTGTTTGGTTCAGTTGTATTCTCAGTTCTTGACAACAGAGGCCAAGGAGGACCTCTACAAAATACGTGCAAAAAAATGTCTGAAAGAATACTTACTGGATGTTTACAGTGGTATATTTAGGTGGTAGGATTATGAGTGATATTTGTATTTTTAATTATTTTTGTCATTAGTATTTTTTAACTTGAAGTCCTTTCTTTATATTATCTAGTTTGTTGAGAAAGGGTCAGATCAATATTGGATGCTCCTATATGATCATCTAGCTCAGTGCTTTTCAACCTTGGCACTACTGTTTGGACCAGGTAATTCTTTGTTGTGGGGGGCTGTCTTGTTCACTGCAGGGTGTTTATGGTATCAATGGCCTCTGCCCACTAGATGCCAATAGCACCTCCCACTCATGACAGTGTCTCCAGACATTGCCAAATGTCCCTGGGAACCAAATCGACCCCAGTGAGAACCACTGATCTAGAGTAGAGTCTCCTGTGGCCACTTTTAGCTCTGTAATTGGCCCCAAGTACTCCAGTAATACCCCAAGAATTTCAGTAATAACTCAGTTACAATAATTCAAAATAAAATAAATTCTTTATGCTTATAACAACTAGCATAAAAGGCTTCCTTTCATACAAGACTTAAAACTAATTTGACAAGGATAAAAGATATCAAAAATTTAGCCAAGATTTTAAGTATTCCCTTTCCTCCTGTCAAATTCAGTCAGTCATACCACCAATCAGAGACATGTTAAAGTCAGATAAAGGATTAAAACTGGTTTTAAATTTCTTATGTATTTTAATTATCCAAGCCAGGTGGTCTCCCATTACTCCATGTCTAGATAAATAAAAGATCTGTTATAATAGAAAGAATTTTCCTCGAGTATGTATAAAAACAGAGCAAAACAAAACTCAAACCACCTAGGATATTAATGCAGAAAGATCAGTCAACATTTATTTCTTAGGTCTGCACAGTAGAATAATGAATGGTGAAATAAGTGGCAAATCTTGCAGAGCAGGGGCCATACAGGAAACAGGTAATTAGAGGAATCGGTGGAAGGCAACAGGGAGTGGTGTGGTCAGCGGTGGAACCGGAGAGCTCCAGCCCAACCCCGACGCACACGGTTTAGGAAGAACCCAGTATGTCCACATCTTCCAGTTTTCAAGAGGAGTCTGACTTAGATTTTTATCTAGTAAAATCTCCCCATTTTTAAATGTTGGCAGGTGGTCTCAATTAAAAAACAAAAAGTTGGCTTAAATAAAACAAGCCTGTAGCTTTCTGCCTTCTGTCTGCTGGCCTGTGATCTCTCTGCTGCACCCCGGGCTCATGGCAGACCCCTCCCCACTAATGGCTCTCTGCAAGCCTGGTGGTTAAAGCCAGTGTTTCTCAAATCTATCTGAACATCCATTATTTTGGGGCAATAACGCATGCACATCCAATTCAGTAGCACCTCCTTTAGAGTACATGTTGCTCTGTGCATTAGGGACAGCCACAGAATGGTGCTAAAAGTACAAATCTGGAGTTATTTCTAAAGGGGGCAAAACCAGCGACATTTAGCTAATTTACGAATGACATAAAATTACGACGTTTAGAAGCAAAAGGATTTTTGCAGTGCAAAGGACAAGAGTAAAGGTCATTTTAAGAAAGATAAGGTTAATTTAGGATATAATCAATTGGATATGTGTTGGGCATGACAATAGAAACTTGGTAAATGAATAAGAAAAGGGTGGATAGAAAACCACAAGTTTATTACTACCTATAAACACTAAGATGTACTTTGGTCTGAACTGTACAACTACAATGGAGAAGATTTTCCTAGCCCAACATGAAATTAAGTTCTTGTCAACCCTAGAGATAGATCCAAGGTTTACATAGATAACACTCTGAGAAGGGAGAGTAAATGGTAGATGGTCGCAATGAGTCTATGGCCACCATTTCAAACTTCTACTGCCCATATATTTTGATAAACTCCTCAAAAGCACAGAAATGGAATGTAGTTGTGTCCCAAAGGATTAAGATTCACTGCGTTGCAACATACGGAAAAGAAGAAAAATCAGGTTTACCATACAAGCCTCTCTCGCTTGGTGTACTGATGGATCTTTTTCTAATATGGATTTATAGTCTTCCAGGGCTTCATCTAGCTTGTCAGTTTTCTCATACAACTCCGCTCTCCTCAATATGGCCCTGATGTAGCTGGGGTTTAACTGAATGGCTGTAAAAAGAGAAAAAATAATTGTTACCATGAAGAAAAAGAGCGTATACATCCTCAGCTATATCAAGTTTATTAACCATCCTCCAGGGTCTAAAAAGAAGAGTCATTTGTCAAAGGCTATCCCTGGAGTCGACAAACTTTTTCTGTAAAGGGTAAGATTGTAAAGATTTTAGGCTTTGTAGGACAGACCGTCTCTGTCTCCACTCTGCTATCGTAGCATGAAAGCAACCACTGACAATTCCTAAACAAATGAGGTAGCTGTGTTCCCATAAACCTTTGTTTATGGATGCAGAAATCTGAATTTCGCATAATTTTCATGTGTCATGAAATATTATTTCTCTTTTCATTTTATTTCCAACCATTAAAAAATGTAAGAACCATTCTTAGCTCATGGGCTGTACAAAAGCAGGTGGCAGGCTGGATTCAGCTTGGGGCTGTAGTTTACCATACCCTGGTCTATATCCCGAGCCCTGGTTTTCACCTACCTGTCCTTCACCCAGTTCAGAATAGGCCCGAACACAGAGCTCAAGTGCACAGTGAAAAAGTGAGAACTGGAAGGTACAAACTACAGAGTTGAGGGAAAACAGTTTGGTGGCCGACTCTGCTATCATTCCCTTTTCTCTAGGCCTCCACTACTGAGGTTACAGTTTGAGCTAAACCCTCACTGTTCCATCAAACTACTGCTCCAGCCCCTTCAGGGTACATAATAGTCTTTCCTTTACCCAACCTTCTAATAATCCTCTGCGCATGTGTTGGTTCAAGGTAGGAGTGTGTGTGTGTGTACACAACGGAGTCTGTTCCGGGCACCATAAATATGCAATGCCTATCAGACATTCATCCAAGAACAGATGTCAACTTTGCACTTTGCAATGGGTTCCAGACCACAGGGAAAAGCTGAAAACATAAACTGTAGCATCGAGATGATTTTTAAAGTGTCTGAACTGGATGAGATTGTATAGGGAGAAAATATAGCAGGGAAAAAAAAAAGAGGGCCATATGTAGGACTAACATCTAGGGACTTCCAAAATGTTGAGGTTGACAGAGAAGCCAGCAAAAGAGAAGGAAGAGGACTAGCCAATGAAATAGGAAAAAAAAAGAAAAAAAGAGGAATGATACACTGTATTAAATGCCTTTGGGAGGTCAAGTAAGTTGAGGATAGAGAAGCAGCTATTGACCTGAGCAAGATGAAGTTGTTGGTGATCTTTACCAGATGGGTTTCAGTGGCATGAATGAAACAGAAGCCGAATGGGTATGGGGTGAGGAGAGAATGGGAGGTGGGCTCTAAAGCAGACAGCAAGTACGGACAATTCTTTCAATGAAGAGGATCAGACACATGGTACAGTAGCTGGAGGGGATACTGTTCAGGAGGTTTTCGGAGAACCCAATCTTATTCAGCATCTCAACGTATATGCTGTCAACCTCCCCTGAGCTCAGGACATCATATTCTTTTAAAATATCCCCAGTTATAATATTCACAGGAAAAATACTCCAATGACCTCTACTACATCTTTTACAAAAAACAGAACTGACCAATTTACATTTTTACCCAGATAATTCTCTCTTCTCAACTAGTGGATCATTTCTAATAATGCAAATATATATTGAAAAGTAGAAACTTTCCCCACCATTACTTTATAAAAACATCTAAAATCATCATATAACTCTAATGTGATTTTCTTTTTCAATCTATATAAAGAAAATGAACTTAACCTTTACCTATGCCAAGGCTGAAAACCCTAAGGTTAGAAGCATTAAATATTGTTCCCTATGACGAGTAGTGACTCCAATATGAACCCAGAAATAAGCTGTTAAGTCCTGTGCCAAAGTTTATGAACTGAGTGGGAGTGTGTCTGTGTTGGTCCTTAATATGAATAAATCCTCCTCATGTCAAAGTATTCTGTATACAGGTACAATGCATGTAGCCCATAATGACTACATATAAGCACATGAATATTGGTTTAACAAAATCCAAACACTCTGGCTCCCCTACCTTTCGTTTTTGTTTGTTTGTTTGTTTTGACAGGGCTCCCACACTTATGGCTACAGCTGGATATGAATCCTGTTTCCTAGTGTATACCCTGCTAATTGAGCTTGCAAGACATTTCTTCACCATTTGGTTTCACAGAAAGGAGCTCTGAAAATCAGCAGCTTGTTCTTAATTTAAAGTCTTAAAACCCACACATCTCACACAGATTAAAGTTAAATTAAGGTTAAACACCTTCCTCCAAAGGAAACAGTACATTCAGAATTAGTTCCAGCCCAAGATAGTAACAGATCAAAAGTAGTTTGCTTGATTCTAATGTAGTAACGGTTTCATTCAGATACTATAAATACCAAAAATAACAAAAAGAAAGCCCCCACAGAGAGGATGGCAGAGGGAATTCAGGCTTAGTATGAGAGTTGGACTGCATAACATATAAGGTTCTTTCTAATCCTACAATTCACTCTATTATCCAAAGGAAAACTGGGGGAAAAAAGAAAAGAAAAAGAAAAACACAAAGTAATAATTAGCTAGAAACTCATGAGGGTAGTAAGATGCAAGAAAAAGTGATTATGTGCGTTCTCTACACAAAGCTGGTTAGAAGACAAGACAACTGTCTGGCCTATCCGGAAAGTTTTGAAAAACAAAACAAAACAATAATAATCCTAAGTCTGGGGGTGTCTTGAAAAGTTGGTGGGATGAAAACACCCTAATGGAATTCAGATAACAAAGCTTTGATTTGGTGTGTGGAACCTAAAAGAGTAATTGAAATGATGCAAGTAGGTCTGGAAGAATTATTATACCCGAAGAGTACCAATTTCCTAAAAGAAACTGCCCTCCCACCCCCTACCTCCAAACACACAGATCCAATAGCCCTAATAGCAGCTAGGACCTTCAATTTTAATTTCAAAGTAACGTGGACACTACAGGAAGTAAATTCTGTTCCACGAGATTCTGCTGCCACGGTAGCTTTGAATTTTTCCTTACGTATTTACTAACACAGGATAAACTGACTGGACTACCTATTCAAAAGCACACTTACACTACGATGACTACAATACGGTACCTCTAAGAAGGCTGAACCAGAGCTGCCTCTTTGAAAGCCTGAGAGGAAGGGTACACACGCACGAGACCATGCTTGACTGAGAGCCTGTCTCTGTCTAGCCAAGGAAATGCTCTTGTATGTCAACATGTAACAAGACCAAAAAGTGGTACCTTTGCTGCAGTCACTGATGGCCATCTCTTTCTTGTCCTAAAAGGAAATATAACATTAATATGTGTTGCCCTAGTTCTATCTTAATGGCCCAAAGGCTCAATGACATTAATAATTGCTTATAGAGAAGCACAAATGCACTTTAAAGTAATCACACAAAAACATGCAAGTTTCTTCCAAGCTGAAATTCAAAACATGGTGACAGCTGACTTGAAAGTCTTCTGTTAACAAATTATTCAAGTAGCCTCTTCTGAAAGCATCTTTCAAGACTGTCGCTGACCTACTACATTTGCAAGACACTTTACGTTAGAATGCTGACACTGAGAAAACTTTGTGACCAATAAATACGGCAAATGACAGATATATGAATAACTGAATTAACAACCCTCCTCTCTGGCTAGTAGTTATATCATCATACTCAATGTGGTATCTTCCAGAAACTATACAGTTGGTCCATCTATAGACACACACACACACACACACACACAGTGTGGCTTGTCATGTAGTCTCCGTTATAAAACATAATTTATTCACTGATGAAACAAAAATACAAAACAATTCACCAAGTAAGATAATTTAACTTGCTGAATCTAGAAGCATGGTGCAGTGGTAAGTAAGAACACTAAGACATCATAAGATCTAGATTCTAGTCCAGCTCTGACACTAACCTGCTATTTAACTCTTCTAGGTCTAAAATGTCTATTTTCCCCAAATTAGAGTTTTTTAAAATAGTACCGAAATGTTAGTTCAAACGAATGTTCAATACTTCTATAATGGCTACTGTAGCAAATATCAAATATTTCTGCAGAATATTTTTGAGCAATGGGTACAGGGTGTCCATTTGGGGTCATAAAAAAGTTCTGGAACCAGATAGCGATGGCTGCATAACATTTATGAAAATATTTAGGGGCACTGGATCGTCAACTTTAAAATGGTCAATATTATGTCCACAATAAACACAAAAGGTTCTAGAGTCGTCTGGGAAACACTATATTATACCTCTTCCCATGCTCATCGTAGCAATTTACATATTAGAAGCTCTAAGAGGTCCTGTAGTAAAGAAATCTGTGTGACTTGGTATAAATCAGTATTTTCCCAACTTATCAGATTTCTATATACCTAAGACTCACAATTTCATATTTTAAAGTTCTAAAATAGGAGTGAATCTTTCCAACTTATGTGTCCATCTGTTGTGGTATTTTGTGCCCCTAAGAAACTATTACTGAGTTTCACTGCATCTTATCAACAATTGGCCTCTGCAGACCCAGAAATTACAGCATTTTACTGCAGAATTCTTTGTCTGAGGCTCACAGTCTACTAATACCTCAGGGGACCCAGCTGTTGCCTGAGGCTTAGAGTGGCAGGCTCTATGGGGAGGAGGGAGGGGGAGAATTAGAACTTATTTACCATCTTTTTGTAACTTATATGTCTATGTACATACATAAAACAATGGCCATAACATATAAGACAATAGCTTTTCTCAATTTAGAGCCTATTCTTTTAGGGCTTTGTCTGCTCTTGTGTCGCTAGGCACAGAGCTAAAACTGCTCTAAGCCCAGTTTGCCTTTTCTCTCTCTAGATATAAAATGTTAAGCTTGGCCAGAGGTACTGGGTCAGGGATGCTGAGCCTGCAAACCTTCCTTTCAGAAACTCTTCTAAAAGCAGTTAACCCATCACATCCTTAAAAAACTCAGAATATGGTCCTTAAATTATTTTATTGCATTAATCCTGGAAGTTTTCAAGTCTCTAATTTTAGCATCTTCTTAAAATATTGAGTACAATTTAAAAGAACAAAAACAACTCAACCTGACCCCCTGTGATTGTAAAGGAAACAATCACAGAGAAACTCTTTTTCAGTTTCCTCAGATGCTGACAGACAAAAGACCATACGTACAGTGCCCTAACTCAAGAACTAGACGATTATGCCAGTCCAACCCCAGCAGTATCAATAACTTGGCAATTATGGAAACAGAGAATGTCAAGTCCCAGGAGTCAGATGGGTCTGGTGCATCTCCTGACATCGAAGGTGTCCTTGATTCCATTTCACAACAATTTCCAGTCTGAGAATACGGCAAGATGTCTCCCAGAAGCAAAAGCAAAAGATCAGAATTTTCCAATTCTGTTAGGTGTGAAATGTGTAAAAACTGTTAGGTGTGAATTCTGATTGATGGTAGAATACATTAATGAACATTGTTTTAAATATAGTTAATTTTTCTATCTAATACAAAATGTCTGCTTGTATACTCTAGAATTATTTCTTCTCCTTTGCCACATGAATCGCTCTAAAAATACTTCACTTTAGAGACTGACTCCAATAATGAAACATACTAGTGCAGTTTTTTAAAAAACATTCTTCATGTCCAAGCATTCAAGCATGCCCCGCCACGCCCACTCCTGATTAAACAAATCAAAACCAAACCAAACCAAACCAAACTAAACCCCTGGTCATTCAAAGTGATTTCAATAGGGGCACAAGAGAATTTCAGGCAACATCAAAGAGAAAGTGATGGAGATACCTGACCTAAACAAAACCAACAAAAAATCACTTCACCCAGTCTACTGAGCTTGCTTTGTGGCTGCTTAAAGGTATGTTAGATAAATAACCTACCCTTTGTGCCTTGGACATAGTAGTGATAATTAAACAGATGTACTGTTTTTCAAAACTCCTCATTTTAATCCAGCAAAATTTACCAAGTTGACTAAATAGGAATCAGACAAATCAACAAGTCTAACTTTTAATACCAACACGACATAAAACAAATACGACTGTACCCCACATTCACCCTGCTACACCAGGTACTCGATCCTTTGGAAACAAAAAGGTTTCTAACTTTCCCCAACACCTATTATACATTTAAGGGCTACTCTCACCCTAACTTTTGGGCATTTCTCCTCACATCCATACTTTCAACAAAAACATCAGATTCTTAGGAATAAGTATCTTGAAGTCCAGAGTTTTAATCAGTGTTTCCCTTTGAGTCTTCAGAACTTCAGAGGCCTAAAATAAGCCACCGTAGCTATTTTAGGACATGCACTACTTGGGTTTTTGCCTCATTAACCTGCCCTAGTTTGGTGGAAACTTCACCAGCCTTCCATCCATGCAAATGTTCACTCAGCCACTTTAGATCAGGGACATACATGGGCAGGAAAGGGACTTTAAGCCCCTATGCTAGTTTGTGGCGAGAAGCTACCCTATGAAAACACTGCAAATTAAAAAGAAAAGGTCACAGATACATACCTGTTTCATCCTTGCAGCAGCTCTGTTTGAAAATAGAACAGACCTGTCTTTCTGGAAGCAGGATGGGCACATCTGAAGGGCCTGACTATAGGAACTTTCGGCCTCTATATAATCTGAGAATAAGGTAAAAGGTGAGAGGTCATTATGATTTTATTCCCGATATTACTGTATTCCACAGGATCTCAGAATGCATAGCTTTCCATTCACAGGACAAAGGTCTCAAATACAGTATTCTATATGTTCAGTTTCCATTTAGCTTATCAATATGGTAGGGAGTTTTGAAGGAGGATTTGAGAACTAGACAGAGGAAAGTGACTGAAGTCTGTGATAAATGGCCTGGGATGAAGAAAAACATTCCACGTGTTATGTTTTCATTAAAGATATTGTGTTTTCATAGTCAACCTGGCTAAAACTGCTTCCATGAAATGCCTGGAGAGACTTTTCGTGGGGCTAAACACAATCATGTAAACATCAGTAGTTGACTAAAGACCTTAAAAGAGAAAATGGTGAAAAATGTATATATTCATTGCTGCACACAGTATTATCGTCAGAGTACTAAAAAAACATTGTCTAGTCACTCCTTTCTCAGGTTTGAAAGATTTAACATTAATACAAAGAGATATGTTTTCAAAATCAGAACCATTAGTTCTCTTAGAAAAAAAAAGTGATGATTGCTAACCAGGATATAAGAAAAAAGATTTTAAACCTAAAAATAACTAGGGGGAAATGTTACTCCTAGATTTCTAAAGCATATCTTTATGAGAGGCGATAAAGGCTATGATAGGATCAAATAGTTCCCCCAAATTATCAGATTGGACCCGACTTATCCCTAAGCACATGCAGGAAATCCAGAGGGACAGGAATGGCATCACTCTACCTAAGGCGTCCAAAGAAAAAGACACATTAAAGATCACCCAAGTACAAGCAAAATTCTTCCCTAGGTTCTGCTGGAACCATTGGGCCAGTTTTTATAGCGCTATTACAAAGTGAAGAATGGGGTCCTGTTTTTACAGCAATGCAGAGACTTTTAACATCCCAGATTAAGAGTTTTCCAAAGCAACAACCGAAGAGATTTTTCTAACTTCTGGACTTATAGATAGTGGATTACAGAAAAGAAAAATTATGCCTGTGCCAAGAGACACATGGTAACTGGTCACTGTCAGCGAAGAACGATTTGGATGTGGTATGAAACACTATTCTAAGGTGCTGGGAGGCAGTGCTGCACTGTTAGCAGCTTAGGTTCCTGGTTGTTTCCAAATGCTCTCTGGGGTTTCTCCCGACTCTACCAAAGAATAAGGAGTCAAAATGACCAGACATCAATGCAGAAATAGTTCTCTTACCTCCTTTCTTAAACTGCACATTTCCCTCCTCCTTCAGTCTAGTGCTCTCTTCTCTTCTTTTCTAAAAGAAACCAGAAAATTACATCATTTGCTACATTATTATTGTAAGTGGACAAAAAGGTCAGCTTTCCTTACATATTAGGCTATTTAATAGGCAGCAACTTGACTTGAGAAATGGGTCAGTTTTATCTAAATCTCCCACAGATAGAGAGAAAACCACATGACCATCTGCCCAATCATCGATCTCATTCTTGATGTTTAAAACACAAAACCCAGGTTTCCTATGCTTCTATCTTCTATGTGGAATGGTAATTCAGGTATAATTTAATTTCTATTTACTCATACTGAAACTAAACAACACATCCACTGGTATGCTTATCTCTGTAAATTCAAATTCTGGACCTGCTACTTATTAATTGCATGATGTTGGACAAGTTCCAGATCCTTCTGAACCGGAGTTTCTTCATCTAAAAGATGAGGCTTTGATAGCTTTATGGATTAATGTGATAATGAATGTAAAGCTCGCAATACAGTGACTGGAAAATAAGGGCTCAGTAAATATGAGCTGTGATTTTTCTGTAAAATAAGTAACAATACTTCTTTAGCTACAATTGTGGTTTGTATCATGAAGACACTGGTATGCATGCCAGTGGAGCACATTATGGGGGACGAGCTTCATCTGCAGGGTCAGGGCAGCATGCTGTTAGCAGGAAATTTGAAGAAACCCAGATAAACCTGTTTTCTCTTAGCCTCTTCTAACAACTCAAATTCACACAGACAGTGAAGCACTCATCAAACTCAAAGGCAAAATGAATGTTTTTTCTGCAAAGATGACACATGCTGAGTCCCTGTGTGCTTTCAGCCCTGAACATCTTAGCAGTATGGTCGGCACAAGCAGAACTGGCAGGAGCGACTGCCTGCCTGCCACCTTTTGAGAGTGTTTCGTTTTGTTTATGTCTCTGGAGACTTGCAAATATGTTGAGACTATGGTGCTTCCCGAATGCCTATTAGACTCTGGACGAAACAGAGCACTTGATGAATCTCAATAAAAAAACTAAAAGGTAGGTATAAACTGATCTAATTGTTATGGTATCTGCTACGTACTAGATGTACAACAGATACAGATATAATTAATTTTAAGAAGAAAGGCTATTCTAAGGGAGTACAGAAAAACAAAATGGGTGGTAATGGTGGTGAGAATCAAATATAAGAAGGTGACCACATTTACCTAGTACTGCCCAGGAGGGAGGTGCTTGTAATGTGTTCTACTGTATCAGTTAGGATTTTGGAATGCAAGCAAAAAGACAATCTTAGGCAAAAAAATTTTAAGGGGGCAGATTTACTGGAAAGATATTGGAGGTTCATAGAATCAATGGGAGGCCTAAAATATAGGCTTAGAAAACAGGCAGAACTCAAGGCAGCTCTGTTAAGTCAAGAAGGAAGAAAGCATTAAGTGTCTTTTAGTGAAAAGAGTCTGGCCAAGGCTGGGCTATAATAGTAGCAGATGAATTCTAATCATTCCCTCCTCTTTGCCCCATCAAGATTCAAAGTCCTGATCAGAAGCATCCAATGAGCCAAGTGAGGGTCACATACCTTGGCTGTCAGAGAACAGAGTGAAGGACATGGGGCACTGCCATTCGACAAGATTATGACACAGAAGAATTCCTCCAAAAAGGAAGGGGGGTGGTGTTGGATGCTGTACACCAAGAAAAGCCCATAATAAATCCAGTTAAAAGTTATTTCAACCCTGAGTAGCCAATCTCTTCTCCAGTACCAACTCACCAGGAATGTTCAACACAGATGAATCACTCACACCGCCAGATCAGACTCTTGTGAAGTTATGTGTGAGTTTCAATCATTCTTCAGTAAATTTAGAACATTAAGATCCTAACCAAAGCCTAGATCCAAGATATGCCTAAGAAGGAATTATGGTCAGCCCAAGAAAAGCTCGTAGTGTCTTTAAAACTAGGACTACAAGATGAGCTGGCAAAGAGAAAGGCCCCAGAACAACGATTTCTAAAGCCAATTATCCTGAGGAAGGCATTTTATTTTTTTGGCTGATCAATCACAACTCAGTGACCCATTAAGCAACACTGGAAAGGAGCTGCTGCTCCCACAGATTGCGTATTGAGAATTAATGCAATTATCAATATCATGCTGAACATCTCCTTGGAAACAGCTAAAAATAGGACTCTGAGGAAAAAGCTGCACTATCTCCCAGCTGTGCCAAGAGACTAATTTGATCCTAGTACAAAGACTAGGGTTTATTCTGCTGCTGGAACACAGTCTTTCCTCAAAGATGGCACGCATACTGTGTTATGCTACTGGGATCCAAGGACAGATTTTACTCTGCGTAAGTCTTACTTAGCATGCTAAGTGGCAGGGGCAGTCATACACAAATGAGTGCCGATACTCTGCAGCATTATCGGGTGCAAATCTGTCCAGGTTCTAATGGGTGAGGAGCCCTCAATGCCTTTTAACACATTCGGGAGAGGGCTCACAGGGAAACTTCTGTGCTAGAATTCCATCTCCATAACTATGAGAACCAAAGAAACTTTACAGGACTCTTAACTTCTGTATTCCTTGCCAGGACTGTAAACTCAGAGGAAAACAGTGACATTACTCTGCATCATAAAATCATCACAGGAACTGTCAGGGAAAATTCCAGACAATATCCTTGATCAATGGAGTTTCTCTCAACAGTTATTAGCACAACTGCAGACTGTTTGGCCTGGTATTCAGAGTCCAGGGTGCCAACCATTACACTCTGGAACCTGGCCTGGTATTCAAAGTTCTATATAACCTGTACCAGTATAGCATTTCACTGCCTAAAATCTGCCGTTACATACATTAGCTCATTTGCTTTTCAAGACAATTCTGAGAGGTGGGAATGGAGGTATTTACCCATTCTACAAGTGAGGAAATCAAGACTCAAATCTCTTGTCCTTCACACTACATCAAACTTCCACTCCAACCTTCTTAACTTTATCTCCTGTTACTATCCTATGCCAGTCCTCTCTTCTAAACAATCCGATCTTTATTGTCTCTCAAAACTCACTGTGCTTTGTCTTCATTCTGTTCTTTCACGTATGCACGAGATGCCCTTGTTGCTCTTCCACATCTTTCAATTGCCCAAACCAAATTTTCCTATTTTCAAAGTCTAAGCACAAACCATATGCCCTTCCCAGGGATGCCTTTCACTTCCTTGCTCACAAGGTCTTCCATTGAATGCAAACTGTATATAATACCTCTAATTTGAGAATTCAATTCTGCCTCAAAGGTTATTAAAAAATATATAAAATAACATATATAATATATACAAAATAATATATATACAAATAAAAAGCACTGTGAAACGTTTGGAATATTACGCAGCGCCCAAGTGGTTTAAATGGGTTATAAAACACTGCACTGTTCTTAGACCTGGGCAAGAAGGGCCCCTGTCAAGGCTCTCTTCTGACCACTTCTTCCTCCCATGGGCCGTTTTCAGCCCACATTCTAGGATTTCCTGCACAAGGCTCCCTGGCCCACTTCCGGGATCCGCACGAGCCTTTGCCTGGGTCTGTCCCCCTAAGAGCGGACTTTGCTGCAGGTGTACATTATGTTCCAGGTGCAACATTTTGTACCCTGCCTACTCCAGGCCTGGAATTAGCCATTCCTCCAAGGAGTCTTGGATCTTTTCAGTGGGGGATGGCATTTAGAAACCAAGATCTGAGTGCTAAAATGCTCCTGTTACTAGGGAGTCATTACTTGTAGGCCCTCTCATTTAAGAAATCTAGGAAACACATCTTAAAAAAAGAAAACAAAAAACCAGAGTCAAAGCATACATACAAGGGAAATCTGGTATGAACCCAGACAAGTACACACCGCAGCGAGGATTCGTCCTCACTTTCTCTCACAGTGAAAACTCTGGTTCCCAATAATAGTAATATACTTACTCATTTGTTCTATCCTACAATAAACAAAAAACATTTTTGAAATTACTAAATGAATAATGAAACTACTATGGAAAGTTCAGGATTCCACTGCAGTTGACTGTAGAATATATCCTCTAAGGTGGTCCAGCCAGAGCACTGTGTCCAAGGTTACTGAAATCATTCTCTATGTAATCAACTTGATATAATTATGTTAATATATATTCAATTTGACATAGTTACATTAATTTGTTCCTGTTTGTAATCCATTTTAAGGTTTAATTTTTCCCTCATCTGCCCTGATTAATTTTAATATCCCAATATGTAAAACATTTACTATGTGGGACTTCTGATGTGGCGATGTGAGGCTGCCAAATCTAACCCCAAAGCAACTAAAAAACTGGACAAAATCATCAAAAACAACCATTTCAGTGCCCCAGAAATTGACTAAAGGCTTACAACACAATAACACTTATTCATGGAAAACTACTGAACTTCAAGAGATACCCATGGAAATCTGTGGTGGATGTGCTAGGGACAGCTCCCTCTTCTTCCTCCTGTCACGGGACATGGTAGTTCTAACATGGCAAGGTAGGCTATGAATAACCAGCCGTTTCACTGCAGGAGGAGGCTGACATGACTCCAGGCAGAAAGCAAAATATGCCCTGCCTAGTATAAGTAAGTAGCAATTTGAGCCGCAAACAAACAGAGAAGTTCAGGGGTTCTACTATTCTGCGGTTGCAGTCCTGCTTGGGCAAACTAGGGAACCATGGAGCAGACAGACATGTAACAGGGAGACAGAAGAGACAGTCACAGAGGCACCTGATTGATAAACTCTTCAAATATCCCTGGCTGAAGATGGTGTACATGCTTGGGAAGAACAGAAAGGACTGAAGCTATTCACACATCCTTGTCCTATTGGGATATTGGGACCCTGTGCACATGTGCTGAGTGAGACATAAGAAGGTCCATCTGGGGCAGACTTAAAAACTGCCTGAACTTGGAATATGCTTCTAAATCTACACACAGACCCACTAACAGCAGGTGGAAGTTTTATTGGTTTGAGATATTTGAAAACAATCTCTGACCAGTTATGGCTGACCACTAAGCTATGCAGAAACAGGACCAACCCCAAGAAAGCCAGACT